CGAGACTAGGGAGATTCCGGATTCGAGGCATGACCGGGTTACTCGCATTTCTTTCTCCCGATGTTCATACATGAATACCACTCGTGGAAGGAAACAGAAGATTACGACACGGTGTTTGCCACATAGCTGCTGTCGATTCTGCCTTTAAAATAACGAATTCTGGATCTATGACATAGGAACTGAGATCAGCGCCCCACTGGTGGATTAAATTCTTTTGATTGGCGTAACCGCCTGCGTCGACTGCATGTACATGATAATGATCTTTCAAAATTTCCATGGATGCTGCTAATCAATTACAGAAGACAGTTAAATAGCAGGGTTATTCTTACTTCCATCTTTTCGATACTCTGTTCAATATTTCGGTTGATAAAAGAATATCTTGTTCCCCAATGGCTTTTTGAACCTTGTCTACGCCGGGCCAGGTTATTAGAAGCAGATCTGCATTGAAGAAGGTAAACAATTATCGTTCGCAACTCTTAGATCGTTTCAGACAATACGTGCTTACGTCGGTGCCTATCTGTTAAACGGCTTTTAATATGCGATTGGTTTTTGTGCATGTTCAACTTTTCAGAGTAACATTTCTACAGGCTACATGCTGTAACTGTAGTGTATCGTTAGCCTCAATATTTAGGGCATGAGGGGATTTATATACTGCATGCTTATATTTTCATTTTTAAATGGTCACGGTTATTCTTTCTTAGCGTTTAAAATACGAAACACATTTCATACGAAAATCTGTCAAGATGGTATGACGAATCGCAGCATGCAACATAGACTTTGGATGACTAACTTATTTAGATGTACTTTTTAAAAATAATTGATTCAGTCTGAATTTTCCTTTATCTTTTCTCTGTACATTTAGCCTTCTTAAAATCCGTAATTTGTTAACTGATGTTTCAGTAGGTGAATTTTTTTTATTGCTTTAGCTGCCTCATTTCGAAATGCCAATATTCACGGTAAACACCAATGTTTTGGCTTCTGCCATACCATCAAAGTTCATCTTTGAAGCGAGCAAGCTAATTTCGCAGATTCTTGAAAAGC